TCATTCATTATACAAAGGCTTTTGGGGGCTATTTATTAGGCAAAAAAACTCCAATCAATTAAACATCCAAGTCAATGAAAACAAAATTAAACCATTAATGAATCACACAAAAAATAATAATTTAACGTAGTTCAGTTCAACTAGCATACATCTATAAATGAGAAAAAGATTTACTAATTGTAAAAAATTACAAACATATCAATAAATCAATCTCACTTAGAATTAATACTCATAGACTATCTCATTCTCCTTTAATCTTATGGAGCATTCTTAACTCAAACAAACAAATACTCATATGCATCCATGCACTATACCTATATAAACCATCTCATTCTCCTCTAGTCTACTTAAACATACACACCCATAAAGACCTTCTCAATCTCCTTTTTATAAGTGTTTATCCCATAAAATCCTATAACTCTCTTACATCATTTTTTTATATCTAACTTTATACAGACTCCACTTATTTATAAGCATAAAACTTACCTATTAAAATTCTTTTCTTCTTATAATTCTTCTTTTATAAGTTTTCTCATCCATCAAACAACATCTAACCAATCCTATCTGGAATAAATTTCTATCCAAATCTCTTATGGTATTTGAGTTAATTTCAATAATCTCTACCTTGACTTCGAATTTCATCAAATCATCATTATTCATGTTAGACATAATTGGTTCCATTTGTAATGAAAGTCTTGCAATCATTTTCTTTTGTATGTCTTCAAACATCATACAAATCAATCTTCAAAATACAAACTCAAACTATTCTTTTGAATCAAACTCCTCTAGACTTATCACTTCTCAAGTCTTGAACTTATACTCTGATATCACTTGTTAAGCAAAAAAGCTCCCAATCAATTAAACATCAAAGCCACTGAAAGTAAAATCAAACTATTAATGAATCACACAAAAGATAATAATTTAACATGGTTTAGTCTAATCGATTTACATCCACGAATGACAAAAAAATTTCTTAGTTATAGAGAATTACAAACACATTAATAAATCAATCTTACTCACAATCAGTACCTACATACCATCTCCTTCTCTTCTAGTCCTATAGAGCATTTTTAACTCAAATAAGCATATACCTATGTACACTCAAGCAACTTATCTATGTGGATCCTCTCATTTTTTTTTAGTCTATTAAAATATATACACCCATAAGAATATTCTCAATCTCCTCTAATCTTATAGGGTATCTATCCTATAAAATCCTACAACTCTCTTACATCTTTTTTTTATACTTAACTTTATAGAGACTTTACCTATTTATAAGTATACAAACTTATATATTAAGAATTATTTTTCTCTTAAAATTCTTTTCTTGCAAGTTTTCTTATCCATTAAGTAATTTCTAACAAATTTTATTTAAATAAATATCTATCCAAATCTATTATGAGATTGAAGTCATTCCTAACTTATTGTATGTACACTAATGGATGCATACAAGAGTTGTAGCTTGTGAAAATAGTCGATATTGCTTTATCTCAACTTGTTTGTATAACTTTGTATAATGGACAATGTAGAAATTGTTGACGTAAGGAAAATGCAAGATTTGAAGCAAGTCAATCTTTTCCTCTTTTAAACCAGTTCACTTTTTTAATGTTTTGGTCTTGTCTTGTTCATTGACTTTAATGCATACTTAAATATGTTTACTAATGTATTCCACAATCTTAGACTCGTACCTAACTCCTTTAAGTTTGGATGAAAAGATACAAACAAATCTTAAATTTTTTGTGCATTCCAATGTATAAATCCAATTTGAAAAAAAAATACAAATGTTAAGATTTAAATTTTAAATCTGTTTAATATCGCCTTTTAAAAGTGACTACTTAAAACAATTTAACTAAATTCTGAAATTTTCTTACCCATTTTTGGGTATTTATAATAATTGCATTACACCTAAAGCTATAAAGATCTAAGCATATATATTTATATGGATGAATTGGTGAAATTCATCCAAATATGTTTGAATTTTATCTCAAGAGAGAAACATTATGATAACTTATATAGAAAAAGAATTATAATTTTGCACTTTTGAGATTTTTTGTTGGTTTAAGAATTAATAAGTTTTTTTTTGTAATTAATATAAATATTATTATTTAAAAAATTTAAGTATTTAGTTTTATTATCCATAAAAAAAACACCCAATCACATATTCTTATTTTGTAAAATCTATTGTATATTAAATGATAACATAAAAGGCAAAAATTAACTCAAGTTGTAAATTTGTCATAATTCTAAATGTATAAAAATTTTAAATATCGCATTTAAACATATGATTCAAAGATAAATATATATTGTAGGCACCTAATTTTATTCGGGTCATCAAACGTGCCCCAAAATTAGTCTAAGATAGGTCATTTGCTTGTTGAGCAAATTTTCGCTTTTATTAACCAAGTCGATCCATTTATCATGTCCAATTTATTGATTGAGTTTGAGTTTATTAACTATGCTTAATGCAATTGCTTGAAAGCCTAATTGGCATTTTGGATTCGGCTTGACATAATTTGACATTGGGTTTAATTTGTTATTTGGGCCAAATATAGAAAAAAAATCACAAAAAATTTTGCGATCAAATAAAAAAATAGAAAGAAGAAAAATGCCTTGCATGACACAAACCACCATGAGCATGAGCCATTATAGTGCCACCCTACCTTGCATTTCTCAGTCTTTACCATCACCTTTGGTAGTTAAAATTTAGTTGTCATAAACCCACCATCATACCCAAGAGTCTAATCTTTCCCCTAGTCCTTCTAATGATCTTACAACACAATAAAACCCTATCCACAAACCATAAAAAGTTAGGCCAATTTTTGAATGAATAAAACATAGCCAAAATCTACCAAGCCATTGCTTTCATTACCACCCTGTCGAAACACCAACAAAACCACTGCAACCTAGTTCAGCCCCACTCTTAAAATCTTTTTGTTCCTCAATCAAAAAACATAAAAAAAAGGCTGCTAAGAAAAACCAACCCTACAATGACCACAAACATTACCACCTACACCAACCCAAACCCTTATCTGTTAACAACCTAAGCCAAATCCATCATCCACCCACTACAAGCACCAAACCAAAAGCCAAATGCCCTAAACACATTCATCCTAAAACCTAGCAAGTAACCAAAAACCAAAAAAAAAAAAAAAAACCAAAAAACACATCCCTAACGGGGAGAAATAGCACAAAAAATAAATGAAAATAAAAACAAAACCCATACCAAAGAATCAAAAGGAAATCCCTTAAGATCTTGGATTTAGGATGTTGAAGAAGGTTTTAAGCCTTGATTTTTAGGTGAGGAAAAAGGTTGTGGAAGGGAGAAGGACATAATTTGGTCCAACAACCATTGAAGTGGTGAAAAAGGATTGTTTTTGTTATTGAAGCCATGGGTTCAAACTTAACTCTAGGAAGTTATAGGTGTTTTTAGGAAAAACTACTTTTATATTAGGAAAAAAAGGACAAAAGGAATATGTGGGTAAACTTTAGGCTCAAATTGGTGCTGATGACCAATGATCGGCAACAGTGGATGACAACTGACTCGACAGTTCGAAATCTTGGTTTTAGGTGGCCAATTGTCTGGTTTGTTTAAAAGAGTTAAGAGAGTTTTAGAGTTTTATAGGAAAGGTTTGAAAATGAAGTAGAAAAAAATCTTTGATATTTATAGATTAAAAAAAAAAACCAAACTGACCAACATGTGGATTGAACCTAGATCCATGGTTTATGCACTCGACCTAGTTTAACCTCCATGGATCACCTTGAATCGATCTGACTGAGCTAGTTATCGAACCACTTCCAAGCTGTTGAACTACTTTTAAACTGCTCTAAATCATTCTAAACCATTGACCAGTTTTAATTAGACTTTTTTGAATAATTTTTTTATTATTTCCTTTATTTTTATATTATTTTTGCTAAATTATTTATTTATTTATTTATGCACATTTAAAATTTATATTTTTAAATAAATATATATTAAAAAAAAGAAATGTTAAAAAAACCTTTTTAAAAATAAAAAGGAAAATCCTCCAAAGATGAGATATTAAAAAAATTCGAGCAGTGATTCTTTAAAAGTTTCTAAGTAAGAATATTTTTCTAAAATATTATTAAAATATTGAAGTATTTAGAAATATATTTAATATAAAAAGATTTCATTTACTTATTATATTTTTAATTAAAATAAAAAATAGTAAGAATAAAAGAAAAGTTTTTTAAAAACAAAGTTATATATAATAATGCATGAGTATTAATTACACTAATTAATTTTAAAATAAGAGTCGTTAAAAATGAGATTTTAAGGAAGTTCAAGTAGTAATTCTTAAAAAATTTTACGTGAAATTTTTTTTAATATTACCATCATACTAAAATATTTTAAGAATTATTCAATAATAAAATCCTAATTTATCTTTCCTAAATAAAAAATGAAATAATATATTTTATTTAAAGAAAAAATAAAAATAAAAAATTTTGCAAAAAAAAAACCAAAATTGTGATAATAAAAAGAAATTTAAGGAAATTAATTTTTAAATATCAAAATTATGATACTTTTTACAATATTAAAAGATTGTATTAAGTAATACTATTTTGAAAACAGGACTATGAGATATTAATCTTTTTTCATCCGTAATTATACTTTCAAACTTAAATTATTTTTATATATTCAAAATTTTTCTAAATAAATTTTAATTAATTTTAGATTTTTTTTCAAAAATAAATTTTAATAGGTAATCATTCGTAGTTATATAAAAAAATTGGTTATAACTTTTATATTTTTAAATTTGTGTAACAATCTCTGAATCATTATGAAATGTATTTTAATCTAATTATTCTTTTTTTAGAAGAAGAAAAATGAGTTTGGTTTTTGGCGCATCTCCGAAAATTGATCGAAGCGATAAAAAAAAAAGGAAAAAGGTAAATAAAAAAAATGAAAAAGCAACTAACGACAGCGTTTGGGACTCCACTCGAGGTTGGGAAAAGCTTAGGCTTTCGATTGGATCAAACATCAAATCAAAGCTAATACCACCAAAGATTATGGAAGAAACTGAATAATAACGCCTCTCCATAATCTGCATTCTTTCACCGCCTCTCTTTCTCTCTCTATTTATTTATTTATTATTATTATTATTTTTTTTTGTTCTTTCTCTTAGAGAGAGAAAGTTTCTGTCTTTATTCCCATCCATGTTCCCACTGTCCAGCCCGCCAACACATCTCTGCCGTTGATTCCTGGTCATCATCACATCATATCATCTCTCCCTCTACGCCATCACTGCGTTCTTTATACGGCCCCCAAATTTCCCCTTTTATTTCTTTTCTTTTCTCTCCTTTTATTTTTATTTTTTGGGGTATTGTATTTAAGTTTTAGGGTTTTCTTTTATACATTGATCCAAATTTGACCGTTACTGAGAGAGAAAGCGAACATGGGTTTTTTTCCCCTTATTTAATTTAATTTATCTTTTTTGTTTATTTCGGCTATTATGGAGCCGCGAGTTGGGAACAAGTATCGACTCGGTCGAAAGATCGGTAGCGGATCATTTGGAGAGATCTATCTCGGTTTGTGCTTTTTTATTCATCTGTTCTTTTTTTTTTTAAAGTATTTTGTTGTTTTCTTTTGCTAATTTTGTTTTAATCTTAGGTACCAATATTCAAACAAATGAGGAGGTTGCAATTAAGCTGGTAAGTAATTTTATTTTTCTAGTCAATTCTGCAATTTTTATGTTATTTTTATTTTTATTTTCATTCCAAATTCTTCATTAGTTGGTGAAGAATGAAGGTTGAAAAAATCTGCTAGGGTTTGACTTATAAGTTGATTACTTAACCAGCTATTGATTGCTAGCTTTTTGGGTGCGAATTGGTCGCATAATGCTATTGTAACTGGTTTATCAATGATAATTTCACTTCCAAGTATGGTAATGATTCCATAGAGAAACTTGAAAAGTATTTATCAGCTACTTCCAAATTTAGTTATTTATCTTATTTTATTGATCATATTTAGAATAAAAGCGGAGATGGAAAATGAAAAAGGTTTTCCGAAACTTGATGAACCCTTACCTTTTCTGCTAAGCAATCCGTGCTTTAGAGAGAGTGGGGAGCATCTTTAATTTCCTCTGCTTTAGATTCTTCAGTGTCGGATATATGCTCCATTTTAAGTAATTTCTAGTTTACGCGCTTTGAGCTGGGATTTGTGTACAAGAAAAGCGGGGTTGTGGTTAGTAGACCTTAACTGCATTAATTGCTTCTGGTTGCTTTAAATTTGGATGATAGACTATGGTGGTTGTTTAGTTGGACAACACTAATATCAAATAACCTTGAATGTTGGCTTTGTTAGCATTATGGTTTGTGTTGTTTACACTTTTCACATGGATTAGATTTGTAGCAATTGACTATTTCAGTTAAAGCCTTTGCATATTGGGAACAAGGACGGGTGGGATTTGCATATATTTCTTGAAAATCATTAAAATATGGGAGCTTGATTCATGGCATTGTCATCTGTGGTCTTTAAATTATATTGATTTGAGTGGTTTTGCTTGTCAGCTTGTTACTAGATGCATTGCGTAATAGAATATTAAGCTCTCCAAGTGAAAGTGATTCTATTAACATTTTAGAGATTTAACAATGGAACCATGAATCATACAATAGCATTTATCTTAATCAATCCAGGTAGCATGACTTTTTCTGCTGTTGAGTTTATTGGAAAATGTTTCCCATATAAGGCATGGATAAATGCAATTTATTCAGCAATAATTTGTGAAGTGATCTACCATGTATCTTTCTTCTCTTTCTTGTGTTTATTGCATTTGCATTTTTTGTGCCATTGATGACATCTAATATCTAGGCAAAGAAATGTTGATAATTTTTGTTTTGCTCAGGAAAATGTGAAGACAAAGCATCCCCAATTGTTGTATGAATCAAAGTTGTATAAAATACTACAGGGAGGAAGTAAGGACCCCTATTCATGCTCGTAGAGCATTTGAATTGATAAGGGTTAGATTTGCACCATTCTGCCCATTTATCTTATTTGATTAATTGTGAATGCTTCTATGCCTATCTTTGGCAGCTGGAATTCCAAATGTGAGATGGTTTGGAGTTGAAGGTGATCATAATGTCCTTGTGATGGATTTACTGGGGCCTAGTCTTGAGGATTTATTCAACTTCTGCAGTAGAAAACTGTCGCTTAAAACTGTTCTTATGCTTGCGGACCAGATGGTAGGTTTGCCCTCATTATGTGAATCTCATTCTGGTATTGTGTACTTTGAGTTTCTTTAATTTTTGGTAATTATGGTATTGCCATCAGATCAATCGAGTTGAATTTGTTCATTCAAAATCATTTCTGCATCGGGACATCAAGCCAGACAACTTCCTTATGGGCTTAGGAAGGCGTGCAAATCAGGTATTATCTCCAAACGTGCTTTCATTGCTGTTCTTTGGCTTCATGTTATATACTGATTTCTGCTTGATTTTTAATTGTATATAGGTCTATAGTATTGATTTTGGTCTGGCTAAGAAGTACAGAGACACTTCAACCCATCAGCATATTCCTTATAGGTTAGTCCTTTTGTGTTTTCTAACTGGTGAATTTATTTAATTTGTTTGAAGTTGAATGGTGCTTCCGAATTCCTGTTAGTAGATATTGATTGTAGTTATGATATTCTTAGAAGGTTGTTTATGTGTTTTTATGATATTCAGGGTTCCTATCGTGGTTGCTATATTACTTTATTAGGTTATTGGGCTTCTAAATTCTTTCCTGGTAAAGGATAAGCTTATTTATGGCTACTTATTAGTGCTGCAATGGGAGGTTCTGAGTTTTGAATGAATTAGAATTAATTAAGAGCTCGTTTCCTCTCTTTCTTTTTTATTTTTCCCGTTCCATTTAAATCCATGTGTATCTTTTCCGAAATAAGCTTATGTAAGGTTACTTATTAGGGCTGTAATGGAAGGTTCTGAGTTTTGAATGAATTAGAATTAATTAAGAGAATTATTTCCTCTCTATCTTTTTCTTCCTGTTTCATCTCAATCCTAGTGTATATCTTTTCCTTTTTCTACTTAGATTCCTCTCACCTTAGGCTCTCCCCTTAGGTTCAAAAACCCTTCTTATTTCATGTCACCTCCACCCTTAAATGTTGGTTAAACTTCAATTATACCGTCACACTCAACACATGAGTCACAACTTTTCATTCTTATTCAAACCATTTCTGCTTTGTTGATGGATGTCCATATTTATTTAATGCTATATAAAATTCTGATATCAGAAGTTTATTTCATTGGAATAGGCAATCACTGATCAAGCACTGAGTTGTTACAGTTGAATGCTTCAATATGTAGATCTGTGAGCTCTTATCAATAAATATTATGATGCTTATGCAGTTATGATTTGTTTGTTTTTTAGCAATTGTGTTGGCACAACCTTTATATACTATATTATATTTATTTAGTGTAGTCTAAATTATAAATCTGGATATACTTGTTTGGATTAAAAAATTTATGACATGCTTGTATTTGCTACAGAGAAAATAAAAATCTGACGGGAACTGCAAGATATGCAAGCGTGAATACTCACCTTGGGATTGGTAAACATCCTTTTCCACCTTTTTCCTTGTCAGATAACCTGGAGAGTGATTGTTAAATATTTCATACTAGCATGCACTACTAACTCTCTTGCTGTATTATTTTATAGAGCAAAGCCGTAGGGATGATTTAGAGTCACTTGGATATGTTCTTATGTATTTCTTAAGGGGAAGGTAACTACCGCCCACCATTTTTATATTACACAGAGCAAAACAGTAGGGATAATTTAGTTATGATCCAATGTCTTTGTAGTCTTCCTTGGCAGGGACTGAAAGCAGGAACTAGGAAGCAAAAGTATGATAAGATTAGTGAAAAGAAAGTGTCAACTTCTACTGAGGTAAATTAATGTTTGATTATAGCTTTGCATGTGATACCTGTTCAACAACTTGAAACTTATTGGAAAACTTACTTATTTCTTCTTAGACCTTGTGTCGAGGTTATCCTACTGAATTTGCATCCTACTTTCATTACTGCCGGTCCCTAAGGTTTGAGGATAAACCAGATTATTCTTATCTGAAGCGCCTATTTCGTGACCTCTTCATTCGTGAAGGTTAGAACACTACTTGTCCTCTGTTTTTTTTTTTTTTTAACCTTTTCTTTGTGGAAGATGTTATACTTAACTGCTATTGTAAATTGTTAAATAATCAATGAAGCTTCACCTTGGGTTGTTATCTTTTCTTCTCAATTAAGGTTTTCAGTTTGATTACGTGTTTGATTGGACAATATTAAAGTATCAGAAATCACAAATTGCCAATCCTCCTACCCGTGCACTTGTAAGTGGTTTGCCAAACTAGGTAACATATTGGCATCTAGCATCTTCGCACCTTTAATTAGTTAATAATAGTCTATTGCATTACTTCATTAATTTTTTCCAGAGCCCTGGTGCTGGACCAAGCTCTGGCAAACCTCCTGCAGGTGCAATTGCTGATAGGCGTTCAGGTATCTTTGTTGACTCTGTTTTGCTCCTGATTTTGTCTAGTCATGTATAACAATAGTTTCTTTTTGTTTGATTCTTTCTGCCTCTTATACATGATACTGAGTAAGATAGTATTTTAGGTAATGGTCCTTGCTCTAACTGGTGCACATGATAACTGTGTGTACTGCGGTTGATATTCTACAGGTGGAGAAGGTAGACCTTCTGGTTGGTCTTCCACAGATCCTAGTCGCAGGAGACACTCTGGCCCAATTGTAAATTCTGGAAGCTTAGCTAAACAAAACAATCCAGTAGCAAATGATCCACCTTTTGCTAAAGAGCCTATGGTAATGGTAAGTATTTTTTTTCCTCATGGGTAGATCTCCCATAGATTAGGCCTGTTTCTCATTGCTTAATATGTCTTTGACATAATGACTTGGAGTAAATTGGTTTATGAAAGTGTATATATATATATATATATATATATATATATATATATATTCTAATTCTGGTTGCAGTTTTATTTTGATGGTTAAGGAATTAGATGAAAAGGTTGTTGTTAATGGAAATGAGTGGTGCAAGAAGATTCAAACTACAACCTAATTTGATTCTCTTATTTGGTTTTTCATACAGCTGACCCCAGCGTATGGGATATAAGGCTTAGTGTGTTGTTGTTATTGTCGATTTTAGTTTTATTTTGTTTCTATATGCATGGTAGATAGATATAAAAAATGAGATGCTTCAGAAATATAAACCTGCATTCTTTGTGCTATCAGAAGAATCTCATCCCTCCCCCTTCCTTTCCCTTTCTCCTCTTTTTCCTTTTCTGGTATAAAGTTGTCGTATGATAGGGTGTGATTTCGGATGTCCTTTCTAACTAATGTTTCTGGCTTGACTTGACTTGTGCAGTTGTCTGGTTCTAATTTCGTGCAATCAAGTGGATCTTCAAGGCAAGCTGCCGTCTCTAGCAGTCGTGATGCAGCAATCACAGTTAGTGGCTCTGAACGCTCTCACCTTCGCACCAATGATCCAAGTGCAGGGCCACCCCTGAAAATCTCTAGTGGGCAGAGAAGCTCACCTGTTTTATCAGCAGAGAACAAGCACTCATCTTCTGGTAGAAAGACATCAAATATAAAAAATTTAGAGTCTGCTCTGAGGGGCATTGAAAGCCTGCAATTTAGGAATGATGAGAGGTTACTCTATTAGCCAACAACCTACATGAAATTCTTACCTCCTGTAAATTTTAAGATGGCATACTTTCTTACGTGCTAGGAGTGGGGGATGTTGTCTGTGTGTTGTGCTTTTAAAAATCCAAGATCAGAAGTGCAAGATAAGATTGGCCAAGTCCAAGTTGAGAATCACAACTTTAAGTAGTAACAAAAAGAGAATCAGGAAGAGTTAGATGCCCAATGACACAAACCCAGGTACAATACTTTCGTCAAAATATCTAGGTAAGAAGGCATTTTGTCTAAATAAAGTTTTAAATGTCTTTGCTACATTTTCAGTTAAATGTTCTTTTATCATATCTTTCATCATATGCTTTTTGTGGATCATGTAACCATTGTCAAATTCAAAGCAGGCTGCTTATTGAATTGATTTTGAATTGTTTGGTGGTTGCATTTGGAACACAATGCTTGTCAACATTCAATTTAGTTTAAGACTCTTTCTATCTGCCCAAACTAACTAGCACTAGTTTGGTTGCTTTTATCATTTAATGTTGGAAAATGAATCAAGGTCAAATGTCAAAACTCTCAACAGCAATGGCCAACGGTTGAGGTGATTAAAGGATATCATTCATTCTTGACGATAAATGCCTGTGTTTTTATCATTTTTACTTTAACATATAACTTGTATTTACTATGACTAAAGTTCAATGTTAGGTCCCAATATGGAAACAAGGAACGGAGTTATAGGCATTAGAATTTGAAATTTAGACTTGTTGAATATTATATTTTAATGATGGGTGCATTAATTGAATTTTAATGCTTTCATGACTCTAGTATGCTCTTTGAATTTCAATGCTTTTATGACAATAGTATTGTAATAGAAGCGAAAAGAAAATGAGAGCTACCTCCCTATTATAACCAACGGACAGGGGCAAGAAAAGGTAAACTAGTACATGACGGACGGAGTCGTTTCCACATTTTCTTTTTTGTGTCACGAGGAAAAAGAGATGAAAAGAACTTTGGGTTTCTTTCTTTTTTTTTTTCCTTCTTTTTTTTGTCTTTTGTTTTCCGACTGACAGAGTCTAGATACAGACTCCCGGTATGCCTGCTTTTATGGGAATGAATGAATGAAAGATCTAGTTAATAAAAGTTAATTAGAGTATTAGTTCAAATGACGTATATATTGATCAAATTTAAAAAATTATGACCTTGAAAATAATTAGACGAGTAAAATTTTTTTAAAGAGAGTAAAAGTAAATAGGAGGTAAATTAAAATTTTAAAAAAATGAGATGATAGATTTTGGTTCATTAATTATGTAACATTTTAATTTTATATCGTGATATTTTGAAGATTTATTATGATATTTAAGTACAGATTTAAACTTAAATTTATAAGATATATTTTGTTTGAAAGATTTTTTAGAATATTTTATAAATTAAGTATGAATTTTCATAAATAATATCGGAGTCAGATTTTGATCTTGAAACTTGGTAGGTTATGGCCTCACCACACTTCCACTATGCCACTACACTTCTGCTATGCCACTTTGATGGTATCGAAGCAATACTAGTTGAACGAGAGTTAATTGTTATATTAAAATTAAATGTTATATAATAAGAGTCTTTTAAAATTTTAATATCTAATGTAATTTTATGATTTGTGTATATTTTATATTAAATTTGCTCAACGATTGAAACGAAAAATTTATAATACTTCAATCTCACATCGAAATATTTTTAAAATTTAATATAATATTTAAGTAAAGATTTAAACTCAAATTTATAAATTATTTTTTTGTAAGATAAAATTTTCAAATTTTCAAATAAAAATGAACAATACAAATTAGAGTACATCTCTACAAATTATCTGTCCATAAAATTTCACAATCAACTTTATACTCCACTGAATCATAAGAAATTCGATTTATTTGAAGCCACCCACCACACCATTGCGTTTTTATGACAAAATTGTAGCAATAATCCAAAACTTAAATTACAGGGGAATTATTACCGTGAAGTTGTCGTTGCTCTGTTCCTGTTATGACTTGAGTAAGCATTCACCCCGCCCTATGGCATGAATGCATTTCTGAGTGCTGATCTTAGGGGACAACAAATACTGTAGCAAAACACTACTAGGGAAAAAAACTAAAAAATGTTTCAATTGTTTACAAGTCAAATTAATATCTGAAATCGGTTCAAAGTTGAAACCTAATTGTAATTACTGAAGCTCCATTAAGATGGTCTAAACAATGGTTTCTTCTTGTGCTACGTTTCCCCTCCTTTGACTTACCGGCAGCTGGAATAAACCGACAGAATCGGTACCTTTCATTTAGTCCAACTTTGAAAATCTTGACCAGATATTCTTGATTCAAAGCCCAAAACCATGATCTAAGCCAAAATAATCCCAATATCAGTAATAATGTCAGATGAACAGATTTTGATCAGACTTCTGGGTAGAAGGCAATCTAAGCTATTAATAACTTGCTCGAGTTTGCCATGGATCTTAATCTCACCCGCTTCAGAAACTCAACCAAGAAACATCAATTTCCAAATTTCATAATTTGGCTTTGCTTAGATACCAAATAAGTACACATAGATAGTCCATAATTCATATATTATTCTATATAACATTATGAAAATTTCAGATTCAGGATTCTTAGACAAAGGGAAACTTCCCAAATCCCAGGTTCCCATCCATCATTCACCGACATAGTAAAATAATACAAATCCCAAAAAGAACAAAACAAAAATACTAAAAGGAAAAATTAGAGAGTACACATGGATCACCTCCACCCATATACTACTTGGGTGTAGGTGTCTTTGATCCACCTGAAACTCTTCCTCAAAGACCCTTTCATCTTGCCTTCAACTGCATAAACCTTGTAGCTAGCAACCCTTTTCTTCCTCTGCAGCTCAGGATCATTAAAGCTCCAGCTTTTTGAAGAAGACCCAAAAGAACTTTTGCTTTTCTTCATCTTAATCTCTTTGCCAAGCTGATTTGGCTGAACAGAATTAGCATAACTGGCACTGTAACATCTCAGGTCTTGCATGTTACTTGGCCCTCCGTGGTAACTCTCCATCTGCATCCCTCCATCCCTGTATGATTTAGATCTAAAACCCTCCATCAAAAACAAATGTATGAAATTCTAGACAAAGATTAACAAGGTGTTCAAGGATGAAGATGAAAATGTGGCAACGGAGAGAATGAGAAAATAAATATAGTTGGGGTCTGCTTTTATTTGTGGAGTTGCTGATAATAGTAGTATTATTTATTGACACAATTTTTTTTTTCATTTTTTTGGTCAGGGAAATAGCTCAAGTGGGTCCCTTTAGGCATCCAACTATTTCATTTGTACTTTTCTTGGGCGGAGTTTGTGAAGGGATGTGAAATTTTCTACTTTGGATTCACACTTTGCACATTGCACGGGGCAGCTAACTTTGAATAGTCATTGGTGGGTATCTGCCACGTGTAATGCTTAATATTTTGACCAGGTAAAATGAATTGAAAATCCAGAAAAAAGAAGTTAAAGAAATCAAGTGTTTTTGATGTTGAAAATTGATTGAGATTGCCTAATTCTAGAGGATTTGATTTCGTGAATTTTATTGAACTACTTTTCATGATGTTCTCCACTAGTTTGATGGCTTTTGACTGCAGAGCTGATGTGGTTCCAATCTGCTGAGAAATCATCAATTATTTGCAAGAATTACAGTATAGTTACAATGTGAAATTTCATGATTTCTTGTGGAAGTTCTAATTTCACGTCTAGATCTCATCCTGTCCCTCTTTTTTCTAGATTAACCGTTTTGAAAAGCGAGTTCAGCGATGAATATTGCTGGAAGGCAACCCAATGGACTGAAACTACAAAGCGATTGATATCATCGTTTAATTGAGTTCGCTGCAACGCTTCAAATCCAAATTGTTAGTATTTTTTTTTTTTAAATTCTTAAATACTTCGAATCCTTTCATCTTTATATTTAATTGATTGAAAGGATATTATGTATATAAATTTTTTCGAAGTTATAATTTTTGAAAGGTAATTTTAATGTCATGTTAATTAATTCAAAAATTAGTGGATAAATTCAATTTATTATTACAAGCCAAGAATAAGAGAGATGAAATAATCTGTTTAAACATTAGTTAAATGTCAGTCTTCAATGTCCACTAGAGTTTCACCAGCGCATACCAAACTAAACTATATACGACCAAGGAAAGTGAAGGGTAACAGTAAACTCTGTTGTCTATGGGGTTTATCCAGAGTCTGCAAAGTGAAACACTGGAGGAATAGACAGACAACTAGTTGAGATTGCAAAGTTAGACAAGCAGATGATGAAGATTAGGTCGGAATGTTGAGTGTTGACCATGTCTAACGCTTGTCCATATATCAATATAATGCTACAAGCTTTGGTACAGCCAAGCCAACCCATGTAAGACACAAGTGCCGGAATATATGAATTTGTTAATCAGAAATTTCAGAACCCAACTTTTTCATAAGTCACTTTCCTATCATAAGTCTCTGTCAGACTGGTTGATCTCAAGATGATCAGGATTCAGGGGGTTGTATTTGCCTCTCCAGGGAAATGAAACCCTTTATTTGCTGCATCTCAACAGCTGCTCCAGGGGCCCTCTAGCTCATGGCATGTTTCACATTGACCAATCTGGAAGATTAGCAGAATATGGATTATACACACACAGACCAACATAACTTATGGTTTTTATGAAAGGAAAGCAGCATCACCTAGAGGAAAGACAGAGATCAATGACATGAATCTGCATGGAATAATAATACCCATTTACATCCTAATATTTTATGCCAGGATTTAAGTAATGGAAACTAGGGGAGAAATTTCTTTAGAAAAATGCTTAAGGGTGACGTCATTACTCATTATTACAAAATTTTAACCATTTATGTGATGAAAATAATGAATCAACTCACATAATAGATTTATTTGATATTGGTTAAATATTATTTGATAGATAATAAGATTTGTAGGAGAAAAGTTTTAAGAAAAAAGTGATTTTTAATAGACAAATTTGAATGCTTATAAATAGGTGGAGTCTTTATAAAGTTAAATGTAAGAAAAAATATAATAAAATTATAAGGTTTTATTGGTAGACATCTAATAGGACTTTAAAAGATTAACGTCCTCGTATGTGTGTATATTTATGAATAGACTAAAAAAAACTGAGATGGTCTATATATATAGTGTGTGAATGCACGCGAATATGTGTTTATTTAAGTTGAAAATATTTCATAAGATTAAAGAATGGAAAGGTCTATGAGTATTAATTGTGAGTAGTTGATTTGATCATTTATTTGTAATTCTCTATAACTAATAAATTTTTTTCTCATCCATAAACGGAACTCGATTAGGTTAACCCACTTTAAATTATTATATTTTATGTAATTATTTGATTTATGATTGATTGATTATTTTGTTTTGATTCTGTTGGTGTGAATGTTCAATTGGATTGGTAGCCTAATATGTGGTATTAGAGTTATTGTGTTCTTAACAAATAATGTTAGAGCTAAAAGTTTGATACATAAAAAGAAACATGCCTAAAGAGCTCGATTTAGAGAAAAGATTAAGTTCATATTTTGAAAATCGGTTAGTATGAAGTGTAAAGATATAGAGAAAATTATTATGATACTTCCATCGTAAAGGCAGTTAAGCATATTTAGTATGAAGATTGATAATTTGATAGATTTGAGTCAAGATAAAGATTGTTGGAAATAAATTCTATAACAAATTTGTTTAAAATTGATTAAATATTATTTGATGGACAAAAAAACTTACAAGAAAAAAATTTCAAGAAAAAAAAATTCTTGATAGGTAATTTCATATACTCATAAATAAAGTGGGGTTTCTTTATATAATAGAGTTATAAAATTTTATTAGATAGACACTTCATAAAGCTATAAAAGATTAATATTTTTATGAGTGTGTATGTTTGTGAGTGAATGAGAGGACTAAAAGAGTATGTATGGATTGATGTGTTTGTTTTAGTTAATAATACTTTATAAGACTAAAAAAGAATGAGAGAATTTATCAGTATTAATTATGAGTAATTAATTTGATTGTATATTTATAATTCTTTATAAGTTGTAAATCTTTTTTTAACTGTAAACGTAAATAAATTAAATCGAATTATGTTAAATTATTATTTATTATGTAATTATTTAATTTATGATTTGATTATTTGATTTTGATTTTACTGATGTAAATGATTAATTAGATTGATAGCTTAACATATGATACTAGAGTTAAGGTCTTCCCTATATTATGGTGCTGCAACGTCTAATGATCTAATCTGTAAACCATGAGCGATACTGACTTCGAAAGCCTGGACTCCACCCCACACGGGAAAAAGGGGAACGAAAAGGACGAAAGAGGAGCAAGTGGCCCCTCCTATCAGCTAAATGAATGTTGGGCCAAGACTTGCTCCGGCCCCCCGTGCTAATAACTGTTCCCAACGTAATTCACGAATTGGATTAATTGAGGTTCGAAGACTCATCGAAGAAATGGATCAAACAACTAAACCAATTCAATCGAAGTCTACCTTTGCTTTCAAATGCCCCGGGACATATAACAGAACGAGTTTTGCCTACCTATGGTTTTGTAATAGGATAAATTGAGAGAATTTTGGACAAAAAGATTTGGAAAACTAAAGGTTTGAGAAAATATTTTTTATTTTCATTTTTTATTTTCTAAAAACTGTATTTGGTAAATGAAAATAAAAATTATTTTCTAAAAATAAAAATAAATAAAATATTCAATAATATTACTATTAATGTCATCTAATTATAAATATAATATATATTTATTAATTAATAACATTAAAAAGTGTTTAAATATAATAACTTGCAAAACACAAAAAAAATTGTAAATCCCTTATTTTCATAATTGAAAACATCTTTTTTTTTGTTTTAATATTTCAATCTATTTTCATTTTTATTTTCTAAAAAATTATTTTCATTTTTAATTACTAAACACGTTTTCATTCATATTTTTTAAGAAAATAAAAACAAAAAATGACTTTATTTTTTAAAATCACACACTACATAAGATTTCATTAATTTCGTAAAAAATAATTTTTAAAAAATAAATTTATATTTTCAAATGTTTGTTTAACCAAAAATTAATTGATCAACAAAAATAAAATCATTTTTTTTAAGATTATCTTACGAATTTAAAAAAAAATAATTTACCAAAAAATCTATTTATAAGTAAAATCATTTATCAATGATTTTGAACAAAATTTTACATAAAATTAATATTATATTAATAAATAATAAACTATTAATATAATATATTAATAAATAATATTATATTAATTAATAAATGTTATAATAATAAATTAATAAATAATATACTATTAATAAATAACATAAAGATTAATAAATAGTTTTATTTTAAATATTTTTTATATTAACATAATATTTTAATATTAAATATTATTATTAAAATATAACTATTTTTTAATATTAATAATTTTTATAATAAATAATTTTAATATACTTTAATAGTAAATAATTTTTAATATTTTAATAATTATATTAATATTATTTGAAAAAAATAAATTTTTAAAAAATAATCATACAATGAAAAACATTTTTTATTAACTCATTCAAATAACAAGAAATCTCTTCCAACTCAAAAAGTATAAATATTTTTCAAAATTCATTTTCGTTTCAAAAAATTTTCCAGGAAACAAACAAATCTAACTAACAGGGGACGAGAGTTAAAAGCTTCAATGAAGCAACGAAACATAAAACCATTACTCATCAGATCAAACATCAGACCAAACGTAGCAAAGAACATCTTTGGTGCAAAGACAGGAGAAGAAAAAAAGAGATTGAAAGTGTTAAAACTGATCCATACCCTAAACTTGCTGGATACTACGGAAAATCAATCATAGGTAAAAACAGACATAAACCTAATCTGTCAATATGCTATAATATGGCGAAAATAAAATCCACCCAAAGTAAGAGCCTTTAATAATTTATATATTAAGGATGAAATAATAGAAGAAAGACGCATACAATCCCAAAACCCTAGCTGCATCAAAACTTGAGATAACATAAACCCACCACAAAGGAGTGGGCAAAACCGGACAATCTTTATGGAGCAAGTGTGCAGGAGCCATATCATTAAATGGTCAAATATGTTTAAAAACAACATTAACTTAAAAGACACTAAATGGGAAAAGACAAAAAAGAAAAGAAAAGAAAAGAGCACGTTAAATACGACTTGCAAAGCAATAAAACCCCTTGCCTCAACAATCTTCAAAAAGGTAATCTCATCAAAGGAGATCAGCAACATTTGATGGCAGCTCCTCAATGATCACATTGTAGAACTTCTGGATGTCAAACAGCATTCTCTCATCCTCTTTAGTCACAAAGTTAATGGCAACTCCTTTTCTTCCAAACCTTCCACTTCTTCCAATTCGGTGGAGGTAGTTTTCTGGTTGAGTCGGCAGATCATAGTTTATGACAAGAGAGACTTGCTGCACATCAATACCACGAGCCAGGAGATCAGTAGTGATAAGAACACGAGAAGAACCAGAGCGAAATTCCCGCATGATGATGTCACGAGTATTCTGGTCCATGTCTCCATGGGTGGCAGAAACTGTGTGGTCCCGACTTCGCA